GATATTTGAAGAAACTCTCTGTAGTCAGATGAATGGTGGCCCCAGAAAGATATGTCAATGTCCTTATCCTCAGAACCTGTGGATATTACCTTACATGTCAAAAGAGTAAATATTACTTTATACGGCACAAGAAGTAATTAAGGTAAAGAGCTTGAGGGGAGGAGCTTATCCAGGTTTATATGGATGTACCCTAAATGTGATCCCATATACCTTTATAAAATACACACACAGAGGAGAAGACACACAGACAAGGAGGAGGCAATGTGATCATGAATACAGAGATCAGAGTGATATGGTTACAAGTGAAGGAATGCCAGCAGGCACCAGAAACCAGAAGAGGCAAAGAAAAGTTATTCCAGGGTCTCCAGAGGGAGTGCATCCCTGCTTACAATTTGATTTTAGACTTCTGGCTTCCAGAACTCTTTTTTTTGTCTTGTTTTTGAGTTGGAGTCTCACTCCGTCGCCCAGACTGGAGTGCAGTGGGCCGTTCCCGGCCACTGCATCCTCGACCTGCTGGGCTCCAGCGATCCTTCCGCCTCAGCCTTCCAAGTAGCTGGAACTACAGGCGCGCGCTACCACGCCCAGCTAATTTTTGGTTTATTGTAGAGATGAGGTCTCACCAAGTTGCCCAGGCGGGTCTCGAGCCCGCGGGCTCAGGCAATCCACTCACCTCAGCCTCCCAAAGCGCGGGATGACAGGCTGAGCCACCGAGCCCGGCTTAGAACTCTTAAACAATAAATTTCTCTTTTAAGTCATTCCATTTTTGGTCATTTGCTATTCCAGGCTTAGGAAACTGATATACACCCTAAGATAAAATTTGGAGACCCAAGCAAATGAGCAGAGTAAAGAAACTCAAAGGAAAGAGAGAGAGAGAGCAGACAAAAACTTCAAATATAAGATCCTCAAAGAAATAAGAAACAAGAGTAGGAATCTACTAAAATAAATAACAAAGACTCTTGGAAACTAAGGCTATGGAGGCAGATATGAAAAATTTACAGAAGCACTGAGAGATAAAGTTGAGAAAATCACCTAGAAAGGAGAACAAAAAAGCTAGAGATGATTATGAGAGAGTGAAGGTAAAAAAAACTAAAAATAAGCCTAGTAGGTCCAACACCTAACTAATAATAGCTTAAGAGTAGAGAATAGATAAAAGAGTTAAAAGAAGGAATCAAAGAGATAATACAAGAAAATTTCCCAAAATTGAAAGACATGAGTCTCCAAATTAAAAGAACATATTGTGTCTAACAAATGAATGGAAAAAGATCTGCACATACTATAAGTGCTGTTGCAGAAATGCATCCACTGATGTTTTAAAAAGATTATATTATAATACAGGTGAAATAAACAGTTTAAAAACCATGTGTCCAATAGGAACTCATTCTCATAAAATATGCAATAGGTAATAATATGGAGTAATGCCTTCAAAATGCCAAAACAAAATTATTTTCAACCTGCGGTTTTATACCCAAACTATCAATCAAATATGAAAGTAGAACAAAAACATTTTTAGACATTTAAGTCTCCCAAAAGTTATTTCCTGTATATCCTTTCATAGTAAGCTAGTAAATGTTGTGATCCATTAAAATGAAGGCGACAAGAAAGAAGACATGGTGACTTAGTTCAGGCTGCTATAACAAATAACCATATCCTCTGTGGCTTATAAACAACAGAAATTTATTTCTCACAGTTCTAGATGCTGGAAGTCTGAGATCAGGGTGCCAGCACAGTCAGGTTCTGGTGTGGTCTTCAGGTTTCAGATTGCTAACTTTTTGTTGTATTCTCATATGGCAGAAAGACAGCAAGAGAGCTCTCTAGAGTCTTTTTTATAAGGACACTAAGACATTAACCCCATGGATGAGGGTTCCATGCTCATGATCTAATCACCCATCAAAAGCTCCACCATCTCATACCATCACATTGATAGTTAGTTTTCCAATGTATGAGTTTTAGGGGGATGCAAAGATTCAGTCCATTGCCCAAGGGATCTAGGAATGGAAAATTCACATAGAAAAGAGGCAAAAGGAACAAACAGGATAACAGCAAAGGGAAGACTCGGGGTAAGAGCTGAGAAAATGACCCAAAGAGCAGCCAGCTCAGAGTAGAGCAGGACAGAGGGAAAAGCAGTGATCTAAGATTGTTGTATCAAGAGATAGCAATGCACACACATCAGTTAGAGCTGTAGAAGTTAGTAAAAGAAGAAATATTTAGCCGGGCTTGGTGGCTCAGCCTGTAATCCCGCACTTTTGGGAGGCTGAGGTGAGTGGATTGCCTGAGCCCGCGGCTTCGAGACCCGCCTGGGCAGCAAGACCTCGTCTCTACAATAAATCAAAAAATCAGCGGGGCGTGGTAGCGCGCGCCTGTAGTTCCGGCTACTCGGAAGGCTGAGGCGGAAGGATCGCCGGAGCCCGGCAGGTCGAGGCTGCGGTGGCCGGGAGCGGCCGCTGCACTCCAGTCTGGGCGACAGCGTGAGACTCCAACACAAAAAAAAAAAAAGAAAAGAAGAAATATTTAAAACAAGTGCACAAGAATTATTTAAAACAAGAGACCTGGTAACCAGTCCCAACTTTGTCACTCAAGGCACATAATGAGTGGTCAATAAAGTCTGTCATCATCAAGCACGCTCCAGAAGAGTGAACCGAGAGAGTGGGAACAAGAGAGTGTTGTGTTGTAGATTTTTCAGCTTTAGCTGACCTCTTAAGTTTACATGAGTGTTCTAGGACTGTCATGACAAATTAACACAAACCTGGCATTTTAAAAAATCAGAAATTAATTTTCTCAGAATTCTGAAGGTCAGAGGTCCAAAATCAAGGTTGGTTCCTTCTGGAGACTGCGAGGGAGAATTGGATCCATGCCTCGCTCCTATCTTCCTGGTGGCTGCCACCAACCCTTGATGTTCCTTGGTTTGGGCTGCATAACTCTAATCACTACTGACATCTTTACATGACCTTTTCTGTGTCTCTGTGTCAAAACTGTCCTCCTTTCTTTTATAACAACACCTGTCATTGGATTTAGGATTCATTTTAAAGCTGATATAAGCTTATCTCGAGGCCCTTAACTTAGTTACATCTGTAAAGATCCTATTTCCAAACAAAGTCACATTCACAGGTATCAGGGGCTAGGACTCAGCTATATCTTTCTCAGGGACCCAATTAAAACCACTACAGTCTGGGCACAGCAGCTCACGCCTATAATCCCAACATTTTGGGAGGTCAAGGCAAGAGGATTGCCTGAGTGCTGGAGTTCGAGACCTGCCTGGGCAACGTCATCTGTCCAATAAATCAAAAATTAGCAGGTATGGTGATGCGTGCCTGTAGTCCAGCTACTCGGAAGGCTAAGGTAGAAAGATCGCCTGAGCCCAGCGGGTCAAGACTGTGGTAGCTGTAATTGTGCTCTCCAGCCCAGGTGACAGAGTGAGACTGACTCAAAAAACAAAAAATGAACAGAACAAAACAAAAACCCACTACAAAGTTATTTATATGAACTACTTTGAACACCTGTACATTTTAAAGGACTTTAATGTTTCTTTCAAAATGACTTCCAGAAAGAAGTTGCTATATATATACTTCCACCAGCAACGAATGAAAGTGTCTATTTTCTTTCACTTTTGCAAACACTTAATATTATATTGTATATACTTTTGGCCAGAATAGTATGCAAATATTATGTTATTGCTTAATTAATTTGCCTTTCAATTACTAGTGAGGTGTGGTATTTAAAAATTTATTTGTTAACTCTTTGATCTTCCTCTTTTGTAAATTGCTTGTTTGTGTTCTTAGTTCATTTTATTTCTAGTAGGACATTTATCTCATTTATATAAGATAAAAGTAAAAGGTTTTATGACTATAATGTTTTAAATAACCAAACAAATGAAAACAACCTAAACTTTCAGTTATAGGAATTGATTCACTAAGTTACTGCATTATTGAATTCCATTCAACTATTATAAATGTCACTGGTATAAACATTTTACAAATATTACAACAGCAGTCTTGGACCCTAGGCCCCCACTTCCTCATCTTTCCAGATTGGCATTCTGCTCCCCTAGACAGCTAAACACAGATGACCCAAGCGAACACCACTTCCCAAAACCACAAACTATGATCAAGATCTGAATCTTGTCCCTAGTCTCTGAGAATGACCTGGACTCTGTTTCTCATAAGAGTCAACATTCAGGCAATGAGACAATCTCTGCTTTAACCCCGTGGAATCAAGTTCAGTGTTGTAATTTTAGAACTAGGCAAAGATGGTAACCTGAGATGCAACTCTTGTGACAATTGTGGATGCAACTGACATAATATATCTGACTGTTTTATGAAGCTAAATATAATCATTATGATCAGATTGAAGCAAACATGATTGAATGGAAACAATAAATGTTATTTTAAAATAAAACAATTCTGAGAGTTCTCAGCCTCATCTTCTAGAACACCCCTTACTTCTCCATGCCCTTTTTTCACAGCACCACAAAGTGCTGACCACACAAGGTCCTGCTTCCCCCAGAACCTAGATGCTGCTGCCCAAGAGACTGCATGGTAAGGTGGCAAGTATGTGGACTCCAGACTCAGAAAACCCAGGGTTCAGATCATGACCTTGTCAGCTATTCTCTGTGTGTTTTATTTTCCTATCACTCCTAAAATGGGGAAAGTAATAACCTCCCTAGGTTTTTGTGCTATGGATTAGAAGTTATATACGGAAGTGCCAGCTGTAGCCCCTGGCTCCAATTACACTTCTGCATGTTGTAGTCATTGATTCTGGAGTCAGAAACCAAGTGCAGGTTCTAGGCACCACGATCCCCTGGCTTTGTCATATTAAGGAGCCAAAGCCCCACTTCACCACCTCTCAGAAAACTCAAATAAGCATCTTCTGACTTTGGAATAAGCACGGGACCAGTTGAGTGTGTGTGTCCCCAGTACAGACCTGGGAGCCACTCCAGGCAGGTCTCGGAAATCGCCGCTTTCACCTGCTTTAGACAAGAGCATCAAGACCGCTTGATCACACACCTGGAAGAGGTTAGCAGCTTCCAGGACCCGCTGGACATTCTGCTTGGTGATCAGTGCCTTGCTGGTGTACGTGTAGTCCAGGAGAGTGTGCATGGTCTCAGCATCAACCCCTTTAATAATGATCCTCTTCTCATATTTTTCCTTTAAATCATTGCAGAACATGGCCCTGGAAGAGAGACGTGTGAATGTGAATCCTACCGGGATCCTTGGTTCCAGGCCCAACAAGTGCCCCTTTCAGACTAATCTCCCCTCACGGAACAGCACCCTTCCCCTGCACATTGACATTCAATCCATACTTACTGAGCAGAACTGAACTGTCCTGCTTTCCATGCCCATCTGTGGTCCCCAAAGTGAGTCTCAGATCTATTTTTGTTGACTTTTATTGTCTCCGAGTGTGGGGGACTTACTGGGGGCCTGGTGGGATATCCAAGTCTTATCTGTTTAATTTTGGCTTGTTTTTTTCTCTCAGCACCCAAACAGGGTTTCTGACTCTTCTCAGTTCTCACACCAACTTCCTCTGGTCTGGAGCCTGGCTCCACATCCTGGCCTAGCTGGTTGGGTCCCTGATACCTTCCAGCAGTGCAAGTGGCTCCTGCAGCTGCCCCTTGTCCCTGGGTTCCCAGTTGCAGCTGGGAGTCTTGAATCCCCTCAGCCCAGGACAGAACTCACCAGGCTTTTACTCTGTCTCACTTCTGGGTATGTATTTTCTGCTCCCTCCCCAGGACTGGCCTTTTGGATATTTAGCTTCTATCTTGGAAACAAGGGAACAGTGTGGAAAGGACATTGGTTTTAGCAGCAGATGGACCAGGATTTGAATACCAGCTCCACCATCTCGGAAGCTGGACATGTTACTTAATCTCCACGAACTTCAGTTTTCTCATCTGTAATGAGAATTTTAGTAGGTATTTTAAAAATTTTTTGTAAGGACTAGCTCTATAACTAATTAAAAAGTAGAGATATAAAGATTTTTTTAACCCCATATCAGGCTTATTTGTAAATGTATCATACTTCTTGATTTTTGACATTTGAACTATTGGTACTTCTCAGGGAATGTGTGAGCAAGTTTATTTACTTTTGAAATGTATTTAAGCTTTTTAATGCCTCTGAAAAGGTTGATGGAATTCTGGAAACTTAAACGGTAGCCCAAATATGGCAAGATCGCATAAATTAAAAGTAGAAGGAAAGAAGTCTAGAAAACATGAGTGGGAACATGAAGATAACCTATGAATGAGGCTTGAAATGTCCACCACAAGGGCTGCTGTGCTGTCATTACAGATGATTTGACCTATGCACAAGAGAAGCAATCTGGTCAGTTACACAGTTCACAGTTCTCAGGATATACGAGTGGTGACCAAAATATGAAATTTTTTAAAAAAATCGTATTTGCTCTTGCATGTTTAAACTTCAGTCACCTTCAAATACTCTCCATTTGATGCAATACACCTATTGAGATGCTTTTCCCACTGCTCAAAACAGCTTTTGGATTTGTTCATTTTGATACCTTTTAGTATTTCTGTCGTTTTTGGTTTCACCTCTTCCACATCAGCAAACATTTCCTTTTTAGGACTTTTTTTATCCAGGGAAACAAGCAAACAAAAAACCAGGGTAAGATCTGGTGAATAGGGAGGGTGAGGCTTAGGGGTCATGCCATTTGTGGTAAAAAATTGCTGAACACTCAGCACAGTGTGGGCAGGTGCACTCATAAATCACCTATCATGAAATGGGCAAATGCACTGAAAGAATCTCAAAAAAAAAATTCACTGAAGCCGAACGCAGCTTCTCACAACAGCACTAACAGGTACACTGATGTCAGTGAGTTTCTAGAACACTTACCTAATGGGGGAAGCCTGTACTACAAGGGACCTGCTCTTCAAAAGATAATTTCACTTTTGGGAGAGCCTCCTTGTATATAGTTAACAAGTTCAAATGCTCAGAAGTATCGGTACCCTTATGAGAAGATCTTCTCTGTCTTTGTCTATGCTCATGCACTGAGAAAAGACAATTGGTCACCTACAGGCCTGGAAGAGAGCCCTTGTCTGAAACCAAACCCATGCTGGCAACTTGATTCCGGACTTCTAGACTTCAGAACTGTGAGAAAATAAATTTCTGTTGTTTAAGCCACCTAGTCTATGGTATTTTTGTTATGGCAGTCCAAGCTGACTAATACTGGCAGTCTCTACCTATCCCAAACTCCAGTAGTTCACAACCTAGCAGGAACTTCAATGCACAAATCGAAGTCTTTCATGCCTACAAGGGCCATGAAAGATCCACAAAGTGCTGTGGAGGCCAGGAATGGCTGCCCATGGAGAAGGCATATTCTGATATGTGAAGACTGTAGATAGGATTTCTAGGAATAAGTATAGTGAGTACAGACATAAAGATGCATGAGGGTGGAAATGTAGAGAAACTAGCAGTATTTGACTTAGCTGGAGCCCCATGGGAAAGCAGTTGGAAAGATAACTAGGGCCCTGATCATGAAGGGCATTAGAGGTAGGCTAGGGAGTTAGGTTTTTATTCCATGAACACTGAACCATGAGCAGAAGCAGGACTCAAAAAGAACTTTTTCTTTTCTTTTCTTTTTATTGAGAGTCAGAGTCTCATTCTGCTGTGCAGACTAGAGCAGTGACATGATCACAGCCACTGTAGCCTCGACCTACTAGGCTCAGAGGATCCTTCCACCTCAGCCTTCCAAGTAGCTGGAAGTACAGGCACTTGCCACCACGCTCAGCTAATTTTTTGATTTATTGTAGAGATGAGGTCTCACCAAGTTGTCCAGGCTGGTCTTGAATCTCTGGGCTCAAGCAGTCCTCTTACCTCTGCCTCTCAAAGTGCTGGGATTACAGGTATGAGCCACTGCACCCAGCCCAAAGAGAACTTTTTCTTTCTTTCTTTCTTTCTTTCTTTTTTTTTTTTTTTGAGTTAGAGTCTCACTCCATTGCCCAGGCTGGAGTGCAGTGGCACGCTCACAGTCACCCCAGCATCAACCGCTGGGCTCAGGCAATCCTTCTACCTCAGCCTCCCAAAGTGCTGGGATTACAGGCTTGAGCCACCGCACATAGCAGAGAACATTTTTAACAGGCATGTTTTCCCTTTAGTTTGTGGGTGATGGTGCCACTGGAGTTAAGAATTAACTGCAACCAAACAGAGCTGGGAGGCATGTGCCAGGGCCTTTCCTCAGAAAACGCGCTAACTGAGCAGTAGCCACACCACTAGGAAACGTCTTCAACCACTTCTCATTGGACTTTCTAAGCTACAGGCACATGGACAGTTATCTTACAGAGCCATCTCCCAGCCAAGTCACTAAAATGGGAAGGTCCCAGGGTACATTCCTGGTGATAGAATGTAATTCCCAAAATGAGGACTTCCATCACAACACAAAGGGAAGTCCTAGCTCCTTCTCCCTTTCCCACACCTCCTATTTAGCTCTGGAAAATCACTCATCAGTTTCTTTCCTCCTTTTCTTACTTGGCAACATAAAAGTAACTGCTTGTGGCTTCCCAGAAAGAGAGAGAGAGAGAATCACTTGACACTTGACTTGCTGATTTCTGGGAACTTTTGCTTAAGCCAGTGAGATCTTCCTCCTGTCCTTATTGTTTCAGTTGATGATAATCCTCCACCTTTTTCTTTTCTTCCCTCAACTGGTCTCTTTCTCCTCATAAGAATACGCATGAAAGGAAGAGCAGACATGAATTCCAGGGCCTGCAAAGTTAATAAATCCCAGTCTGGAACCAGATGAGAAATGATGTCATCTAGATAGGTGACCAATTTACAAGTCACTCTCTTCAGCCATAAATCCTCTTGGTCTGCAGCACAGAACTGTCTGCAGAAGCACAATCACGAGCCTTTAAAATTGACATCACGTTGTGTGCCCCTTTTTCTCCCTTCCCCCACTCATTGGGAACCATATCCACTGCTGGGAGAGAAAGAGCTCGCTAGAAGCCCAGACCTCACCTGCCTGCAAATTATCTATGTAGCAAATCCTCACAACTCTAAAATTAAAATTAAAAATTCTCACACGCACAAAAAGGTGACATAGTGAAGGGCCCAACCCGCTGCCTCCTGATTTCCTGAAGAATCTGCTATCACAGCAACCATATGACTTCTTTCCAGCTCAGTGTACGTTTCCCCAAGTAGCAGGACAAGCCCTATCCCTGAGCCTCCCTTCGTTGGAGTCTTTAGAGCAACACTGCCCCACAGAATGGAATGTGAGTTACATATGGCATTTTAACATTTCTAACCACCATATTTTTCAAAGAGGATCTTTTTTTTTTTTCAGATGAAATCTTGCTCTATTGCCCAGGCTGGAGTGCAGTGGTATGCTCATGGCTACTGCAGACTCGATCAGCTGAGCTCAGGGGATCCTTCCATCTCAGCCTTCCAAGTAGCCGGAATTACAGGACCACACCACCACACCTGGCTAATTTTTTTTTAACTGTAGAAATGAGACCTTGCCAATTTGCCCAGGCTGGTCTCAAACCTCTGGTCTCAGGCAATCCTCTCACCTCAGTCTCCCAAAGTGTGCTGGGATGACAGGCTTGAGACACAGCACCTGGCCTACACCACATTTTTTTTTTTTGAGTTGGAGTCTTACTCTGTCGCCCAGCTGGAGTGCAGTGGCATGCTCATGGCTACCCCAGCATCGACCTACTGGACTCCGGTGATCCTTCCACTTCAACCTTCCAAATAGCCAGAACTACAGGTGCACGCTACCATACCCAGCTAGTTTTTTTATTTATTGTAGAGATGAGGTCTTGCCAAGTTGCCTAGGCTGGTCTTGAACTCACAGGCTCAGGCAATCCACTCGCCTCAGCCTCCCAAAGTGCTGGAATTACAGACTTGAGCCACCATGCCTGGTCTATACCACATTTTTTAAAAGTAAAAAGATAAAGATAAAAATCAACTTGAATTATATATTTTATTTAACCCAATAGACACCTAAAATATTATCATTTCAACATGCGAGACACATTTTTAAATGGCAAATGGGACAATTTACATTTCTTTTTCATACTGAGTCTTCAAAAGCCCTTATGTATAGTGTATACTTAAAGCCCATCTCAGTTGAGACCAGCCGCAATCTACATGCTCAACAGTCACATGGGGTTAGTGACTACCATATTAGATGGTGCAGCTCCAAGCATTGATCCTGAACTCAGGTGTTGGGGT